CATCCATCCATCCATCCATCCATCCATCCATCCATCCATCCATCCCTCTCCCCACCTCTTCCCCCTGGGCTGGGATGGGCATTCCAGGGATGCTGCTCTGGCAGGGCTGGGAGAGGCTGCTCTGGCACTGGGGTCCCCACCCTGTGCCACCCCAGGTGCAGCCCCTGCCCCACAGAGCTCACCTGTCCTGCTGCCACTGGGTCAGGCCAGCAGAGAAAATTCCTGGCCCATAATAAAATTTTCCTCCTGAGTAAATGTTCTTTCTCCCACTTTTTTTGGCAATTTTTTCCTCCGTGACTGAGGATCTGGAACTCCTGAAAGTCATCCCACCACAGGACAAGTGGGGACAGAATATGAGGACCAGAAGGGAGAGAGAGCCATGGAAAGGAGCCAGAAATCCAGGGGTCCTGAGGCTGGAGACACCTCTGCACTGAGCACCAAATGCTGTCCCCAGATGGGATTGTTGCAGTCAGCTTCAGTGAGATCAATATCTAGCCCTAATTAAAGCAAACATAACATGAACGCTGGGACGTGTGGAGGCCCCAAACACATTAAACCAAGCAGCATCTTTTTCTAGCATAACTTAAGCTAAGGTTTCTGTATTTCTAACCACAGTCTAACAAGAAGCATCGGCCTCTCTGTGTGGGGTCCTGGGGATGCTCAGCCCCAGTCGGACACTTCAACCACTGCCCACGTTTTGTGATTCATCTGCCCAGTGAAAATCCCAAATATCCCCTCAGAAGTGCCCGTGCCCCATCCATGCACGGGCAGCACCACTGGGAAACCGAGTCCTGCCATCCATCCCTTTGTTTCACCCCTCTTTTGCCTTTGGGGAGGTTTGGGGTCTCTGTTTCATCTAGAGACCAGAAACCAGCATTGCTGCTGGAGAGGCTGGGAGGGATCCTGTGGTAGGATGAGGACCCTACCCTAGGGCTCATTTTGCAGCACTGCGAGTAGAGGCCCCAGGCTGCTCCAGCACCCACAGTGCCAGCTGGAATTCCCAAATCAGGGCCAGCTGGACATGTGGGGGTGGCAGGGATCACTCCAGCAAAGGCAGGACCTGACCCTCACACCCCTCAGCCTCAGAGATTTTGTGGGCACCATCCCTGGCGGTCCTGGGGCAGCTCAGACACAGGCTGAGGGTGCTGAAGTAAAACCAGTTTGCAGCAAATCCATTTTCCTCCAGGAACTGGGCAAAGCCTGTGGAGATGCTGCATCCTGCAGGGTGAGGGGCTGCCTCCTCCCCACAGAGCTTGGGGCCCAGGAGCCAAATGCCAGACACAGGGAGCACAACGTGACATCAGGAGAGAGCAGGAAAGCCAGCCAGGCTCTCCTGGCACCTCCCTCGAGTCTGGAAGGAAAAAAAATCCCTGAAGGTGCCAAGGGAATTAAAATAAATAAATATCCCTGGTGACAGGGGTAATGGGACCCTGAGCTCCTTCAGATACCGACGGCGAAGGAGCTGTGGGGGGAGCAAGGAGAGCCCTGCTGGTCCCTGCACCCTGAAATCCTCACTCCCCCTGAACCCTGAAATCCTCACTCCTCCCTGCACCCTGAAATCCTCACTCCTCCCTGCACCCTGAAATCCTCACTCCCCCTGCACCCTGAAATCCTCACTCCTCCCTGCACCCTGAAATCCTCACTCCTCCCTGCACCCCGAGATCCTCCATCCTCCCTGCACCCCAGCAGTCTCACTCCCCCCTGCATCCCAAATTCCTGCTCCCCCCCTGTGCCATCCCCTGCTGCACCAGACCATGTGGAATGACCCCGCTCCAACATTTCAAAGCACAGGAGGCAAACCCTTATCTTCCACAGGAAAAGAATTATTTTATTAAGCATTTTTAAACAGCTACTTAACATTTACTCAAGATAAAAATATGTACAATATCCCACCTTGGAGGTGGCTCCAAAATATAAACACTGTACCTCTCCCGAGAGAAAAACGGAATATTCTTCTCTTCAAAAAAAAAAAAAAAAGACAACCCAGAAACAAGAATACATTCATATTTCTCACTTCTTTATGCTCAAGTAGTTATACAAATAATAGACATCTGAAACGTTTTAACTTTTAATATATTTATATAATATATATATATTTATAACAGGATTTTACAAATAAAGGCAACAACTGTATACCAAAAAAACCCAAAAAAACCAACAACAAAATAAACGTTAGAACACAATCTGCAATCAAGCATAGTGCATCTCAACAGCTGGTGCAATGGGAGGGTGACATGAGGATCCAGACAGGGGTTCTGCTCACCAGTTCTCAAACCAGTAAGAAAAAAACCACCAAAGAGCAGTGCCTTTAGCAGTGAGCTTTGGGGTTTTTTAATTGGAAAGAAGCTAAACTGGAGATGATGTTCCTCTGCGGAGAAAGCCCCTTGCAGTTTCCAGGCCAAGTGTCACAGGGACCCCTCTCCCCTTAACAGGCGAGCCAGGTTTGGCAGGGAGGAACCCCGATCCTGCGGGGATCAGGCTCCTCTGGAATCCCACCCTGCCGTTTTCCAAAGGCACTGTCGGGCACGGATGGCGCTGCCTCAGCTGCTCCCTGTGCCAGGGAGCTCCCGGCTGGGCAAACCGCGCTCACTCCCGAGGGACGAGGTGACAGCAGCAGCGGGAGAGGCTGGAGCCGGGTGCCACCAGCAAAGCCATCCCAGGGACAGCTCCTCCCGAGCCGGCCCGGCTAGCAGCTCGAGTTACAGGAAGGGCGCAGGTTCATTTATTTATTAGATGTACGCCATGGAAAGCTCCAAGCAGCAGCTACCTTTTATTTGTTAAAAAATATCTATGTATCAGCAAAGGTGTGGAGAGAAACCCGTCTTAGGTCTGCCTGACCTGTGTGTGACCAGGCAGTGACCGCTGCCCTGCTCTCCTGGTGGCATTGCCACCACTGCCACCACTACCAGTGACCACTGCCCTGCTCCTCCTGCTCTCACAGTGGCATTGCCACCATCCCGCAGTGACCACTGCCCTGCTCCTCCTGCACTCACAGTGGCATTGCCACCACCCCACAGTGACCACTGCCCTGCTCCTCCTGCACTCACAGTGGCATTGCCACCACTACCAGTGACCACTGCCCTGCTCATCCTGGTGACACTGCTGCCCCTGCAGTGAGCACTGTCCTGCTCCTGTTCTCATGGTGGCATTGCCACCACCACCACCCCACGCTCGGGGTCCCTCAGACACCAGCCCAGCTCCAATGAGCCAGCGGGGCCGTTGCCTTCAGCACCGCTCAGGGAAGTACCGTGGGTTATATTTATGTATTTTATATCCGCAGACCCTCCAACCAGGTCTGACCAATGGAATATTTCTTCACAGCTTTGCAATAGATTCGCAGCTGACCAAGTCAACTGTTGCTCTGTAGATATGGAGAGGGAAGAAGGGAAGGGGTAAAGCACAAACCCCTTCTTAAACCCTTCATTAATCTTTTGGAAGTAGTTGTCAATCGCTAACCTGGGCGCATCCTTCATCCTTCTCCAAGCTACCTGACAGGTCAGAGAAAAGGGAATTTAGCTTCCTACGCACAGTGAACCTCGTCCCCACACCTCAGTCCAGCCAATATATAAAAGTGAAACAGTCTCTCAAACTAAAAAAAAACCAAAAAAAAAGAAAAAAGAAAGAGAAAAACCAGTCACACTGCGCTCAGTCTTTGGTTTCCAAGTTCAAAGGAGGAATCTGCTTCAAAGCTTGAAGCAGAGCCGAGGAGTCGATGGGGGAATGGGCCGGTACAGGAGAAGGGAGTCTCTGGGGCATCAGCAGAGGGGGGGAGATTTTGTCGGGGTTCATGAAGCCCGTCAGCGCCGCGGCAGAGGCCGGCAGGCTGGGGTACAGCACGGGCACCGAGGCCGGGTACCAGCACTTCTCCAGCATGGGCAGGTAGGCGGTGGCGGACGGCGGGATCAGGTAGAAAGGCAGGCACAGGGGAGGCTGGTGAGCGTGAGGGCCCAGGAAGCTGCTGGAAGAGCCCATCATGTCACTGCCAAAAGGGCCCTCGTCCTGCGGCGACTCCAGCCTGCTCCTTTTGGCAGGCGGGTCCTCAGTCTCTTGCTTAATAGAGCTTATTCTCTCCTGGACAGCGTATTTGAGGTCGGTATCCTTTTTGAAATAGGGCTGTTCCGATTTGGAGTCACTTTTCTCCAGCTCTCCCCCGTACCCGCTGTCCGTGTCCGTGTCGCTGCCGCTCTGCTCCCCGCTGGAGTGAGCGAATGTCCGCTGGATCACGGGCACGCAGTTCTTCCCGTGGCCCTCGCCCGCCGCGCCCAGGGGCGCCGGCTTCTCCTTCAAGTCCACCAGTTTGGGAGGGATGTCCCCGGCCTTGCGGGCGGCCCCGCCCTGCAGCACCTCGCTGGCCATCCGGTGCAGGTGGCTGACCAGCTGCGACGACTTCAGCTCCTTGCCGTTCTCGTGCTTTGCCAGGTATTGCAGCATTTCCTTGGCACACATCTGGAAACCGGATCGAAACATTTCCTGGCTGGAATCAAGGTTTCTCGATGACAGGTCACCTAAGGAAACATTAACAGAAAGAAATTAAAAATTAACAACATGCTAAATAGTTCAGTTTCCATCTCCGAGGCGGAGCGGAGGCGATGCTGGACTTGGGGTACAGCACAGCCAGAGGGGGACGCGATGGTCAAGCTGGACCCCGTGCACAGAAATCCCCGATTTCTGCAGAAATGGACAATTCCATTGGAACATCCACCTGTCACTTCTACGTAACAACTCCACATGAAGTGCCACCTGCTCTTTTTTGTTATTTACTGTATAATCCACCTTCAACAGGTACTGGAGTGCAGAGAGGGGAATGAGTCAAGCTGTGGCTTCTCCAGGAAAGCCCCCGGAGAAGGCAGGGTGCACCTCGCCGTGCAGCTCCGGGCAGGGAGCTCCCAGAGCGCCAGCAGCTCCACCAGCCCCAGGGGACTCCGCTGCTCCGGCAGCTCCACTGCACTCCCTGTGGCTGCCGGGGCAGGGACAGCGCCTCCGAAAAATTCGGGTTTACTCTATCACATTCACGTGAGTGCCACATGTGAAAACAGCAGGAGGAAGTGCATCTAAAGCTGATAAGCTGAAGCACCGGGTCCCCTCTGCCTGCAGAGCTCAGGCCAGCTCGGCTATAAAGAAACTTAAAAAGGGGTGTATAGAAAGCAGATTTATATCTATTTCCAGAGAAAAACAACCAAATAAACCCGACTGGGTTATCTAAAGCTCACAAACACAAATGGAAAGAATCGAATGGCTTTGGAGAGAGTCTCAAAGCAAACCCAGGCTGTAAGTAAAACTACTGAAAACCCAGTTTAATTTCAAACAACCCCCAGTTTAATTTCAGTGCAGGGCGCTCTGCACTGACCACCTTGAGCAACGCGTCCTTTTTTTTTGCGAAAGCTCCTAAGCAAAGGCTGAGAAAATGACAGCAGGAAAGGGCAGAATTCCTGTCTCCTCCCTTCTCGGGGAACAAGGTGTCACAGCCACATTTCACAGGCTCCCCAAGGAAAGTCCATCACACACACACAGGCTCTCACCCTGCCGTCTGAACACTCACCTGCCTGCAAACCGTTCTGCAAAGCGATGATCTTCTGCTGCTGCTGCTCGATGAGATTGGTCAGTGCCTTCACGTGCTTCAAGGTGAGCTCCAGAACCACAGCCTTCTCCAGGTGACCTAGAGTCTGGGAGCACAGGGACAGCTTGGCACCCGCCGCAGGCTCGGCCAGGAGCCGCCCGGGGCTGCCAGTGCCTTCCCAGGAGCCGCGGGGGGACGGGCACGGTGAGACCCGGAGCAGGCAGCACTACCAGCAGCAACGTTCCATGGAAAGAAGTTAAAAAGCAGGCTAGGGAAAAGGCTCTCACGGAACCCCGCGGGTACTTCCAGAGCAGCCGCATGAGCTCGGAGAGAAGCGTTTTGTTTATGGGCTCTGCAGCCCCTGCTGGCACCGTGACCTGAGCCCGGGGGAGCCCGGCCGGGGACTGCTGTCACCCGGCAGCGCTGGGAGAGGGGTCCCCTGGGATCCCGGGTCCCCTGGGATCGCGGCTCCCGGGGAAGTTTGGGATGCGCTTCCAGCCTGCCCGGCCGTGCGGCACCGCAGAGCAAAAACAACAAAAAAAAAAAATCAAAACCCACCCCAAATCGTCGGTGAAGCGGCAGCAGAGAGCCGGCCCCGGGGGAGCCGCTGCCCCGTCCCTCCGCCCGCACGTACCGTCAGCTTGAGGTGCTCGGGCAGCAGGTCCTTCAGCTGCGCGATGCACTCGTTGATCCTGTCGCGCCTCTTCTTCTCGATCAGCCGGTGCGGCAGCTTGTAGGT